TACGAGCCACATTGATCATTCTGTAGTCGTCAAACATGAAAAGCATTTTCTTATTTTTATGTTCCCCTGCGAATATCTCTTCTCAGCCCTTACTGGTCCCATTATATCACCCATTACCAACTTCCTTCATCCATCTCATGGGCGGAAGTGGTGTAGTGGCAAGTGGCACGCTCACCACGCGAGCGGTCCGGGGATCAAATCCTGGGTCGTGAGTCGCCCGGGCCAACCAAGCCTTCCATCCCTCCGGGGTCGGTTAATTGGTACCAGACTTGTCTGGGAGGATAAAAACACTGACTTGAACATCGGCTGGCCCCGCAAGTCATTGTATAGGCCACATCGCATTCAAACGCCACTACGAATGTACAAATGGAAGTAGAATGCGTGCCGCATCCCAAAAAGGGATTGATCAACGGCAAATGCTTTATCCTTTTATCCTTTTATCTCATTCCATCTTCATCACCATTCGATAGTTCCGTGTGCCATCACGGTAAAGGTCTATAACTTCTTGTGACTTTGCCTCCTTAATCGCACGCTGTACCTTCTTTCCTCTTCATGTCAAGTCCACAAAGCGGCTGCAAGGGGCATTACAACGGTCTACCATAACCTCTATTCACCCGCCTCAGAAAGCTCCACAATGAGGAAAAAATCCTACAACTTATCTATGAGTCATCGACAATTGAGAGATCGACCACTGGAAGTACTCATTTGTGATTCAACAGAAAGAAAATAAATAATATTTATTAAATAAATACTATGTCAACGTGGAATGCATTCAAAGTGATGTACAAGCAACCCTGATGAAAGCCATTTCTCTAATCTGGTTAGTAATGCATGAAACTCCTAATCGAGCTCGGTCCCGATCCCAAAATCCAGCATAGACTAACCGATTTGCTGTCCTATCTACAATAACCTTGGCACTGCTATTAGTTACACTTTACAAGATGTTCTACTATCTACGTGTCTCGAACATTGTACCCCTTAGGTCGTGGGGGAATAACGGGAATCTGAGGACGATTTGGCAACGCTGGTGGCGGTGCCGGCGCTTGCCTCACTGGGATGTTCATCGGCTCTGGACACACAGACTGGAGCGGCTGTACCGTGCACCTAAACGAGAACGGTAACCACTAAATCTCCTATCTAAGGCAGTCGCTTACCTTGAAGCGAAGTCTTCAACACCACCTGTACCGCTATCAGCACCTGTTCTCTCAGGGATGGTCTCATCCTCGTTATCTAAACAAGAAACTTCTAAGCAAATCTCTGCACAATGGGCAAGCCAGTACACCAATCGCGCGTTGACAGTGATAATAAAAATAAATAAATAAAATAAAATAAAAAATGCATAAATAAAAAATGGCCTGAAAATCAACCAGTTCAATTTATATAGCCACGATCAGGTAGTAAGCAAGTTTCCTGCATGACATCGTGCACATTTGGCGCCGCGTGTGTGGCAACTGACCCGAGCTACAACTCCTTTCCCCCGTTAAAGTCAAGGCTTTGTTCGCGAATTCTTCAATTTAACACTGAGTGAGTACTTCATTTCGATTGATATGTAAAAGGAAGCGGTGGGCTTATGCTACATAGCAAGTTCGCTATTATGCGCATGTTAGGAAGTGCGGTACGCGGTTATTATTTAATGATTTATGCGCAGGTATCGAATGCCCTGAGGGTTTCTCGAGACTGGCGGAAACAATGGATGTGTTATAATGGCGAAATAAAAAGCCTAGTGCGCGCCGTAGAGACAGTGACAGCTGGGCGCTTGCTCAAATCAATCGCCAACCAAGCGCATCGGCACGTCACAAATGTGCGTGTGCGACCTATCGCGACATGCGCCTTAGCCATGCGTTCCACCGGAAGAAGAGTTTTTGCGCAGGTGAAGAGGTTTGAATCGTCAGGGCTCCCTTTTTGAGGCGTCCTTTTGTAAGTACATTCGAACCTAATAATCTCCTGTCGTACGAAACCTATACCCATGGCCAGCGAAGGCTACTCGACCACGAACTTCAGCGGGTTTTCAGTCCTACGCGTGGAGGTGCCAAAAACTAAGCCCACGACGTGGATTTGGCTCGATGGAGATTCTATAACGGATTCGGCACAATCGCAAAAATCAGACATTTGTGATAACTAATGATTTCCAAACGCGTAAAAACATAGTCTTTCTATCAAAATGGGGACTATTCCTAGGGAACTGAGAAAGGTGAGACTCCAGATGCGTTAAGAATATTGTTATTTCCGCGATGCTTTCGTTGCCTCCAGACTCAAGTCCCAAAGGTGCCCGTATGTTACATAGCGCCACGCGAATTCAGTCCCGGTTGACATGCATGCGAGTGGCTGCCGGTTTCACTTCACCCTGGATGCTCAGGAAACTAACGTGGATGGCTCTTATAGCAAGCTAGGACAATATAACGTGAAGACATGAACCATCAAGTTCAAAGTCGAATCCATTTGCTAGTGGTGAGGTCACATTCGTGAAGAGAAACTGTGTCGCTGGAATTCAACGACGATGCAGCAATTTCGTCAGTTTCGGCAACAAGCTGTCAGTCCAGTCAGGCGATCGCAAACGCACCGATAATTTGTGGCCATCTGAAACGGGATGTATTGCTCACGCGGTTCATTAGATAGAACTGATACTTGAGGGACATACCGATACTGATTCCATCCATGCTCAGGGCAGCCAGAGCTGTCTCTCCATTCTCCAGTACAATGTGCAATTCATCATCTTCGAATCTTAAAACAGTGACATCAGAAAGGGACAATATCGTATGAACGCCCGCTTTTATTTCCCGGAACTTCAATAACCTAACAATAAGTGGCAGGTCCAACGGCTCCACGCTACCGTTGGGACTTATCGGAATTTTTTACGACCCCCCTCCTCCAATCAAAAATTCCACGACCCCCTTCACCACCCTCGCCATTATGGTCGCTGTTTCTATAAGACCACTCGACATACCTAACTCCACCCACTTTTCCCTCCAAAACAGCCGTCGAGCGGGGGAGGGGGGGGGATATACGCACATTGAAACCGCAAATTTTTTCCCACGCGCTTCACACAACACTCCAGTTTCACCTCAATTTCACATACGATTTCGCGCGACTGCAGCAAGTACGACCCCCCCCCCTACAAACTCAACAAAATACGACCCCCTTGTCCCAACTTAGGGTTGACCCTGGCTCCATGGCAATAGCTGAGCAGATTTTGCCAAAAGGGAGTCTTTGCAGGCAAATAAACGCGTATGGAAAGTCTCACGTCAAATAAAGACTAGAAATGATTCTGTTCACAAAAGACGTTCCGGTGCCAGACATGGCTAGTAAGTCCATGAAGGTTTGAATTTCGCTTGTGTGGAGAAGCTATGGAAAGCTTGAGAGCTTCAATGCTGCGCACGCTCTCGCCACTTTACCATGCTCGCATGCCCTCACGAACTGGGAAGGTAGCGAGGGTCAAAGGGCGTGCAGGACCCTCGCCACTTTTCTACACTGTCGAGTCGCTGATGTTGGGACTCAGCGCGTTGCTCGTCCAAAGTACTGCTCATAACCGGCAATTCGCTCGCGACTAGCTGGATAAAGTTTGACACCGGTTT